TCATTCCCCATTCATTCACTTATTAAGGAGTTGTTGTAGGAAACAATTGCAGCAAATGATGCGCTACCTTATCCAAACTACTAAAACTTTTTCTTAAAATATTGCCATTTCTGATATCCTATGCAAATCGATTATTTCACTCCTTTATGTTTATTTTCAATATGGCGGTGAAACGAGCTGCTGAGGATTGACACTATTTAAACCGTATGCTAATAAACATTAAAGAAGTTCTAGTAAACATAGTAAACATTCGCCTATTCCATCCAACCAATCTGGCTTATCCGCACGGGGAAGAATTAAAGACTTCGGTAAAATTCGTTGTATCGACTCTAAGGCGACTCCAAACAAATATTGGTCATTAAAAACTAATGTGACAGCTAATGACTGGAGCAAAGTTTCATAGAATCGACGATAACCAGATAAACAAATACCCCGCAACGTACTGGAAAATTTACGATGTAAGGAAATTGATGTTTCATTCCAATTTTTAAAAATTCAAATTGTGACACTATTAGCGTAGCTGCGCTTCATGCTTAACTCGCATAATGATTATCAACTGGGATTCCCATAATGAGGTAGGTAGTTGTAACAACTTACGAGGCTCAGTAGAAAAAAAAGCGCTTACGAAGAGCGCAAATTTTTGGGCATCTATCAGCAGCGCGATCACCGGACTGTGCTTTTCACACTCCTGAACTGCCATATTTTCGAAATTAAAATAGTTGCAGAGGAGGAAACGCGCTGCCGGAGATTTCACGGATACAGATTAGAAGGCGTTTATGTTGCGGGGGCAGTTACTTCTTGTCAGCTCTTTCGTTGGAGGCGGTGCGTGAATGTTAGCGGTACAGTTAGGAGAGCGCCACAGCAGTTTGAAAATGCAGCAAAGTTTTACACTTTTGCTAGTGATCTTTCTTATCATTGCGGAAGCATGCCGTACAGAGGCTACTTAGCAGAATTCTAAATGCATCCGTTATACTCATAACTGAACTCGAAAGATATCCAAGATGACAATCAATCGCTTGCGTTGTGATAATCATTCCGTGTAAAATGCAACGCACGTGTCTTCACGTAATGAAATATTCTGACGACACGCAATAAATAGAAATCGACTCCTTACATCATGAAGAAGAGATTAAACGACGTAAAATAAATTTTCAAACATGATCAGAAAATTTAGCACTTTTTATTATACATGCGCAAAGTCGTGCCTTCTCCAAGATGGCATCTGCTAAAGCTTTGTCGTACGAACCTAACGATTACATGCCCCATATCGTTTACCTTCTGAGCTCCGATTGCTATTAACTTCGTGAACCTACGAAGCACATTATTTTCAGTACCAGTGAAGAGCGTACGACGCGAGGGGGTAAGTGAAACCATCATTGGTGATGTTACAGATGCAATGACCTAATATAAAGACTTAAATGGAACCTGCTGAATAGTACCCTTCCGAGTAACTACCAAATAGCGAACCTGGCAAGTGCAGGTTAAGATCAACAAGTCTAAGTCGAAAACTACCTGATTGACAATCATTGAGTAGCCGGATAGAACGAAGCCCCGAAGGATTCAAGTCTTCCAATTTTTAAAACACCATGCGATTCCTTGAAATTATGTGTTTATGACAACGACAAATTTCGCTTCAGTTGAATGTGATGCCAAATTTTCTACTGCTACTTCTTTGCTTGTGGTCAGTATGGACAACTGATTCGTCATTCCAGTAGTCAGAAATTGTCATTTCTAAAAACGTCTTTTCGTGCTAGCGAAAACATCGTATGTTGATAAATTTGTAAAGTACATTCGCGTAAGAGATGCATTTTAATTTTATAAAAGTTAGAAAAAATGGCGTGCACAACTGTGATTCTGTTTGTGGCATTAACATATCAAAGCTGAATCTTTCCCTCAGATATGCAATAAAGTTTTAAAGGCTTACTGATTCACAATTTCACCTGACAATCTTATTTTTCACGGCCTCGAAATTCTACCGTTTGTTCACCATATGTTCGTGTACAAGTCGTTATTGCACAAGTTCGTGTACAAGTTATTGCTTTAAACGTGAATCTGACTAGCAATCGATACTAGAATGGAAAATTTTACTTCTATTAATAACTGTTCGAATATTCAACTAAGTACAGATAGGGTCTGAAGTAGTAGATAATCCTTAATTGTATTAATATTCTACATTGATTCTGCATCATTGACTGGTGGTGTCCTAAACACAGAGGTTTGTATGTGAGGAATACGGGGGACGACACGTGGTTCAGTGTTTTGTTCATTGTCCTGCTTGCGAAATTTTTGCTCGCTAAGTTACCTCCTTTGGTACAAGGATATTTTGGAGTTACTGTACTTCACTGAGTCCTGTCCAAACTATGTCTAGCCGTTGTTTTCGTTGTGTGGAGATTGTCTTTATGCTTTAGGGTAATGAGCAAGGACATTTCTCTACACCTGAAACTTCTGAAATGAGTCAAAACATCGTACATGTCAGAAATGGTATGACGGAGTTTTTTGAACATCTTTTCTTAATCTTGACGTCTCAATTTTCTCTGCTGTAGGAGGCTCTGATGATTGTTTAACATCTTAATACTCATGTTAAAAATACAAAAATGAGATTTTTGATGTCGCTGATGATTTGTTCCGATTCCGGATCTATGGCTTTCACCCGGCTTTCAACAGAAGGGCTGTGCTATCCTTCGCCGCGCAGCAATGCTGATCATTCGAAAGATTGAACTAACAGAGATTTGTTTCCGAATAACTTCTCTAGCCATTGAGGCATTCATGCGGTTAGAGCGAACATTGTTAAGTAACTTCGAAGCATTCACTGCACAAACAGATTCTGAAGGCGGTTTCAGTGCATCCTGGAACCACTAGCTCCAGAACCTTACCGTTCACCTGTTGCCAGAACTGAACTGCAGGGTGTCTCTGCCGTTTATCTGCAGAACTTTCGGAGATTTGGAAGAGCAGAAAGAAATTATTCTATATAGCTTTGCGCCACAACCTCCAGAGTGATAAAGACTTCTTTTTATTATGTAATTTGTTCATCGTTGCCATTTAATTTATTTGAATGTAAATACTGCATTTACTGATGATAACTTTGTTGTCCAAGCGAATAATGTTAACCTTTATATAATACTTAACACAGCATTGTGTAAGCTATCAAGATGACAAAGCATCGCCATTCTGGTTCAGACAACAGAAGCTTATAATTCTTAGGATCTCTGTTTTATTGAGTGATACGAAGCGATTGGGTTACCACATAGATGATTCTACTCTATAAAAATGGAGACAAGGAGGACCAGAAGTGGATTTTGTACGATGGGTCACCTCCAGGTAGAACAACAAGTAATTCAGACAAGCAACGAACATTAGCTTCCTTTGTGCTGGAGTTTTTGGACTTAAAAAAGGTTTTCGACTCATTCTACACCAGACCAGGCTTGGATTATTTGAGAAGTCAGGATGTCATGAAAAGATACAGAGACGTCGACGAAAAGAATGTAACTACTGCTGTGAAGTTTCACGAAAGCAGAAACATGCTTACAGTCAAAAAATCATGTTCGATACGAATGCGCAATGTCAACCAAGTGTTTTTCTCCTCAGCCCCAGAAGAGGTTGTCAAGATGCTCCGGTGGAAAAATCAGAGCCTGAAGATAAACGAGCGTTGCTTAAGCCATTTGCAACTTGCGGACGTCATCCTGATCTTCCCAAGTTCACTAGAAAGACTCCCACAAAGAATGACCCAGAAAGTTGATGCTGAATGATGCCACCATGAAATAAGACTCAAAATGAACCGGGCGAAGTCTCAGGTCATGTTTAGCAAATATGCTACCGAACGACCTGTTTAAGTCAACGGATCTAGGTTTGAAGAGGTGCAGAACTGCGTCTATGTGGAGTAGCTGTTCTTTGCAGCGGAGAATTGACTGTGTGAAATCACCAGCAGAACAAAAATGCCATAGAGCACTTTTGAAAGATTAAACAATTCCTGTCCTGAAAACTGCTTTTGTCCGTGAAACGGGAAGTTTTCGATTAGTGTGTGTTTCTAGTGTGGAACGTGAACCATAACCCTGAAAGCTATTGATAAACTGCAGACTGCGTAATGCAGAATGTTAAAATGTATGTTCAGAAAATAAAGGAAAAGATAGGAAAACGAAAGAATATGCGACGTCACGTGAAGAAGTTAAAGGGACAGTGAGTTAAACACGTTGCAAGAAGAACCAGCCATTGCTGGAGGCAAGAGAAACATTAAGACTGGGTTCTATTATTGTAAACAACTTGCAGGAACACCTTCAGATAGATGAGAGAATGAGCTGAAGTTCGCTGAGTCAAGTTGGATGAAAATGACAGAAAACAGAAATTTACGACATAGTCTTAATCAATGTGGCAGATCAAAAAGGCTGAAAAGGGATTGTATACTATCCTTCTTCCATGTAGCTTTTGATTCGTACTGAACTCCGATTCATATTTATTGACCGGCATTTTCTTATTTTAGAAATTAACATTTTTTACAAACAGGTGTTCGCTACATCATGTAGTTTCTTTTTTTGTTTCTTCCGTATTTAGTTGCAGAGTGAGGCAAACAGTTTTTAATGAAATGCTGTTGTTTGAACTCTTGAAGTTGGCCTCATGGGAAAGCAAGGGAAACAAACCTAAGCTTGAAGGGGATATTTGAGGTACTTACAGAGGCATCGGTCACGGTATATCACATCGTTCTGTTAGATAACTTGTTTCTTTAGTGTAAAAGAACCCATGCTTTGTTATGCTAACCTATAATGATACGCTTCAGACAGACCCGCATGAAAATAGTACGTGCCTTTGTCATTGTACTCTGAAGACGAACCGAGCTTAGTCCCAAACGTTAGATGGTCCAAATTAATGAACATTTTATGCGTTGCCTTCCCGTTCGTGACTTACCAAGGCATTAATTGATCTCTCGCATAAAGAAGTCATGTACCTTATTGTATATTGCTGTATTATTAAAAAGATTTTTAAGAAATATATTGACTATTTCTTAGAAAATGGACACAGAAACGAAGCCAACCAAGTCGCAGGCGGACATTCTGCGAGAGAAGTACAGACAAGAAGACAGAGAAGCGTGGCAGGCTTACTGGACTGTGATGGACCTCGAGACGAGAGGTCGACCGTTCTACAGAATGAAGTACATAGTATGGCGTTGTTTTGACGTTCCTGCAACATGGTTCAGAGGTAGGCATAGAAAATTTAACGGCACAATAGAATATAGACATAATGGAATCAAAATTTTCTCATTCTCCCGCGAATGCACCTCTTAAATATCCACGCTTATTTGACAGACGCAAACGACCGGCACAATTTCATATTGTTTAAATTAATGAAATTTTGTCACTGTTAGGAAGTCGGCATTCCACAACTTTTATGATTGGGCCATTTTTTTAAGAAGTTGATGGTGCATCGCTGATCTCCATCTCTGTGCCATCAGCCAACCGTATTTTTTAAAGGCAGAGTCTATAACCATGTGGCAAGAATAGCGGCTGTTGCCTTCTCACAGAGTGTACTCATTCTGGAAGGAAGAAAGGCGAGTAATCTTGAATGAGGTTTGAACGTGGGATCTAT